GACGGGAAACAATAAAAATCATACAAGACTCTTAGGCAGCAAAATAGCAGACATGCCGTAGCAATATCTTTACCGACACAGCTCCTGGGGCAAGGGAGACTAAGGAAAAAAATAAATGGGACTACATCAAAATAAAAAGCTTCTGGACAGCAAAAGAAACCATCAATAAAACAACAAGAAAGCCCACAGCATGGGAGAACCTATTTGCCTATTTGGCATTTCAGATAAAGGTTAAGTCTCCAAAATTTACAGAGAACTCATACAACTTAACAAAAGGAAGATAAATGATCCAATCAAAAACTGGACAAAGGACCTAAGTAGATACTTTTTGAAAGAGGAGATACAGAAGGCTGAGAGACATATGAAAACATGCTCAAAATCATTAATCATCTGAGAGATGCAAATCAAAACAAGATACCATCTCATATCTGTCAAAATGGCTATCAACAACAAACCAACAAAGGACAAGTGCTGGTGAGGATATAGAGAAAGAGGAACCCTCATGCATTGCTGGTGGGAATGCAGACTGGTGTAGCCACTGTGGAAAACAGTATGGAGTTTCCTCAAAAAGTTAAAAATGAAATTCCCATTTGACCCAGTAATTCCACTTCTAGGAATATATCCCAAGAAACCAGAAACACCAATCAGAAAGGATATACGCACCCCTATATCCATAGCAGCACAATTTACAATAGCTAAGATTTGGAAACAGCCTAAGTGCCTATCAGCAGAAGATTAAAAAACTGTGGTATTGCCGAAACCGGTTTGGCTCAATGGATAGAGCGTCGGCTTGGGGACTGAAAGGTCCCGGGTTCGATTCCGGTCAAGGGCATTTAGCTTGATTGAGGGCATATCCCCAGTAGAGGGTGTGCAAGAGGCAGCTGATCGATGACTCTCTCTCATTGATGTTTCTAACTCTCTATCTCTCTCCCTTCCTCTCTGTACAAAATCAATAAAATATATTTTTTTAAAAAAAACAAAAAACTGTGGTATATCTACACAATGGAATACTACACCTCTATAAAAAAAAAAAAAAAAAAAAAAAAAAAAGGAACTTTTACCATTTGCAACAGCATGGATGGAACTGGAGAGAGCATTATGCTAAGCAAAACAAGCCAGTTGGAGAAAGATAAATATCACAGGATCTCACTCATATGTGGGATTTGATCAACATAATTTGATGAACAAGAATAGATCTAGAGACAAATGGGAGGGGGGGGGAAGGAAGGGTTAGAGAATAACCAAAGGATTTGTATGGATGCATATTAGCATACCCAATGGACACAGACACTGGGGCGGTGGGGGCTTGCCCAGGGTGGAAATGGCTGGGGGGAAGGGGGGGGGGGTGACGGTCAATTGGGGGGAAAAGGAGACATATGTAAAACTTTAGACAATAAATTTTAAAAAGGGAAGAAGGAGACAGAAGAGCATGTTAGAGAAATTGTGCCATGAAAAGGATTGACCCACCACTTGCAGTTTTGAATACAGAGAAAGGGACTGCAGGACAAGACAAGGAAAGGAAGTCTCCCATAGAGCCTCCAGAAGGAACACAGCCCTGCTCACTCCTTATTTGAGCCCCAATGAAACCCAGCGTGAACTTCTAACCTACAAAACTATAGAACAATATATTCATGCTGTGGTAAGTTGTTGGGGCAGCGACAGAAAAATAATACACAGAGCACACCTGACTTATTTGCAGGAAAACAAACTGAACACACTGGAACCCAGCTCTTGATTGGAAATTGCAGCTATGTTACTTGTCAGCAGAGTCACCTTAAACTATCTATTAACCTTCCCTAAGCCTCCTTGTTCTCATCTGTAAAATGGGTCTAGCAGTACAGTAAGTCCTCACACTTAATGTCTTTCATAGATTGGTAGACTTCAAGCGAAATAACGTAAAACAAAACCAATTTTACCCTAGGCTAAGTAACATAAGCAAGAGTTATGTTCTTAAGGCATCTTATCAACATTATTACAAAATAACATCATTCGGTAATCTGCTACAGAACTTATCTTAAAAAGACTGCTGAAGAACTAAATGAGTTAATCCATGTAAAGTACTTAAAATATTAGTTCACAGAGAAGGCAGTAAGCACATTTTAAACTACTGCTATTATTAGTTTTAATCAATAATAAGTACCTTCTCCCCCTAGCCAGTTTGGCTCAGTGGACAGAGTGTCAACCTGCAGACGGAAGGGTCCCAGGTTCCATTTCAGATCCCTGGCCATGGCTGGAGCGTGTCAGGAGAAAACCAATCGATGTGTCTCTCACATAAACGTTTCTCTCTCTGTCTCTCTCCCTCTCTTCCCGTCTCTCTAAAAATCAATGGAAAAATATCTGTGGGTGAGGATTAATCAAAATAATAATAATAATAATAATAGTAACAACAACAACTATCTCCTTTTTCAGTGACCTATAGAAAAATCATGTGATTGTCTTCACATGACTGTTTTGAAATGAGCCCTTCTAAAACTTAAGGTTTAGCCCTAGCCAGTTTGGCTCAGTGGACAGAGCGTTGGCCTGTAGACTGAAGGGTCCCAGGTTTGATTCCAGTCAAGGACACATGCCCAGGTTTCAGGTTCAATCTCCAATAGGAGGTAGCCGATCAATGATTCTCTCATCATTGATGTTTCTCTCTCTGTCCATCTCCTTTCCTTTCTAAAATCAGCCGGGACCGGTTTGGCTTGGGCCGGGACCAGTTTGGCTCGGTGGATAGAGCGTCGGCCTGCGGACTGAAGGGTCCCGGGTTCGATTCGGGTCAAGGGCATGTACTTTAGTTGCGAGCACATCCCCAGTGGGGGGTGTGCAAGAGGCAGCTGGTCGGTGTTTCTCTCTCATCGACGTTTCTAACTCTCTGTCCCTCTCAATTCCTCTCTGTGTAAAATCAATAAAAATATATTTTAAATAAATAAATCAATCAATCAATCAATCAATAAAAATATTTTTAAATAAATAAATGAATAAAAATAAAACTTAAGGCTTATACATGTGGCCACAAGCAATTTGCACAACAGCATCAGCTACATCAATCTAAGATATGTAGTTTTTCAAGAGTCATTCCCGATAATTAAGGAAGAGAAAGCCAAAGTCAAACTGCCAACATGAATTCCACTACATGATAACCACTCACCCAGGGCCTGACAAAGTGCCCATCAAAAAGTAAGAGCTGTCTTATTAAAAATAATAGACGATGCAAAATTAGTTTCTACTGAAATTGTCCATAGCTGGAATTTTTTCAGTTTATGCGGTATTTATACAGCACTTTTCATTTGCAAAACCTGCTCTATCATTTCTTCATAAACAATTAAATTTTTATTTTACTTGGCTATTGACTTGGCAACATTTACACAAATTGACATAGCCTAGCTAAGCAATGATGACTCACACTATAAAAAAAAAAAAATGGTAATTTTCACAAAAATTAGAAACAAATACAAATCAAATGTATAGATATATTTTGTTACATAATTCCATGCACTGCAAAAGCCCAAACAGTGTCAAAACCTAAAGAGACAGCAAAATTATATCAGAAAGAGGGAGAAAACAAAACGTTCGAACACCTAAGTAAGACTTTTGTTATGTACAATAATAAAAATCAGTGTTAGGTCTTTTAAAATAAATCAGTAACTAAGCACACTAGAATAAAAATCCATTATAAAATAATTCCTATAGTAAAAGCAATAAACTTCAGTATTCCAAGCCTAAATAATTCTAAATTTAATTAAATTATATTTTAAAAGGTAATTAAATATGCCCCAGCAAAAACAATATATTGTTAAGCCCACCCAAAAAACAGTACTTTCAGTTACACAGAATGTACTGATTAAATCCAAATAATTTTTCCACCTTTTTATTATTTCAAGCTCTACAGAATTACAGAACTAGTTAGAACTATAAAAACTAGTTTTTATCTGAAAACCAGTGACAGATAACATTACTATTTTTTAAATATCTATTGTTGAAAGTATTGCATATATCCTCTTTTTTTCCCTACTGATCCCCTCCAACCCATCCACACCTCTGCCACACGCTCTTACCACCCTACAGTCTGTGTCCATGGGTTATGCCTATACGCATACAAGATCTTTGGTTGATTACCTCCCATTCATCCACTCTCCCCCACCTTCCTTCTGAGATTCCGCATTCTGTTCTATGCTTCCATGTCTCTGGATTCACTCCAATCATCAGTTTATTTTGTTAATTAGATTCCATAAAAGAGTGAGATCATGTGTTACCATTTCTTTAAAAGGCATTGAGGAAGGCTGTCCCAGGAAAGCACCTGCAGGGCATCCCACAAAAGATATCTAGTCCCTTCTCTTCAACCCAATAGTGGAGCAGCTCCTTGCAAAGGCCCACTCTCTGAGCACAGCTGGTCTGAGCCATACCAGAATTCCCCTAAACCTTTACATCCAGAGTCAAATTACATTCTCACTCCTCCAACTCTAAATATAGGTCAACATGGCTCTCCTTTATCTTATTCAACAGAATTTAGCCCAAGAAGAAACTGGATATATTCTCAAAGTGTGCATGTGTGTGTGTGTGTGTGTGTGTGCATGTGCGTGCACATATGAAGTGAGGAGGCCACTGAAAGAGATACAGGAGTCAAAATAAATAACAGGGGTCATACATGCAAAAGCCCTCAAGGACCACACAGGGAATGTAATAAATGAAGCAGCTGGGTCAAAGCTAACAGAAGCAACAGAGGTTATAGCAAAAAGGATAAGACATGCTCCATTAAAAAAAACATTCAAATTCAACTTCAGAAAAACAAGCAATGCCAGTCAAATAAAACGCATCCTCAGCTGGATTCAGCAGGCAGGCCAGATCCAGCAGCAGTTTTCAACCTAAATAGATGCAGCAGGCCCCGCCAATCTCCTTAAATCATGCTCCCTCTGAGGAAGGCAAAGGGCTCCTCACAGGCCCCAGAGGACTAGCCTCAGGCCCCCCAACCCCACAAGCTCCTCAGGTCTTTGCCAGGAGCTGGAAAATTAAACACTCACCACTGGAGCTTCCAGGTGTCGAATACTGAGACGTATCAAGAAATTTTCGAGGTGTAGGAAGGTTTGTAACATCAATCAGAGGAATAGAAGCATCTTTCACAAGGGCGCTGGAGGGAAAAGTAGCATTCGTTACTTACCACTTTCTCCCAAAACAACTCAATCCCATAAGTGCCATCCCTTATCACCTTCTTTCTATTTTGAGCCCTCTTTACTCTGTGACTTCAAATATCTCCCAAGTATATTTCCAGAGAAGTAATGAATGTCACAATCAGGGGTATAACGATGTATCCTAAAGTTTCCAAGTATGTAAATATTTATTGTCTTTCATTTTGAAGCAAGATTTTAAAAATTAGTATAAGTATGTTCTGGATCATCTCTATGCCACTTTTGAACCGAATTATGTCACACAATCTCAGTACCTTCCTTTGTTTCTATATTGAAATTAATTTAAGCAAAGAAGGAGCAACTGACACCTTGCCATGATAACCAAATGAAGGTTTAATTAGTTAAGTCTAGTTTAATTTGTGTTTTTCAAGCTAAAGTTCTTCGACATATTCTGGGAGTTCACTACTTTTAGTTTTCTTTAAAAGAGGTTCATAAATTTTATCAAGTTGAAAATCACTACAATAAACGATGACTGAAGGATCTTTGAACAGGATTAATTCAGTATGTATCACCTTTTCCAAAAAGGCCTAGCCCCCTCATCTTGATAATTAATTTTAGAGACTCCAAAATAAACACATAAATTTTAAATAACACAGACTATAAAAAATTAAATTTCAAGTTAATTCCCACTTATAGGCATCTGTTAAGTGCAGGAATATAGGCAATGCCAAGGCAAATAGCCCTGTGTCCTACCTTCCAGAAATGAATTATCTAATCACAATGCATCTACAAGAGAAAAGCTACGTCCAAGTCAAGTCTCAAGGGCAGAGAGGTCAACACCATAGATAGTTGCCATCACTCCTTTCTAGTCCCTGTACACATCTTCTGTGGCAGCTGCTACCCATGCAAATGATTAGCCTATGAGTTATAAAGGAAGGATAGGCCGAGGGGAGCAGGGACGAGACCAGCTGCAGGAAGACTTTCTCCAGCTGGAATGAAAGGATGTGTGCAATTCTGAACATCTGCCCCAACAAATGGACATATCCCCATCTCCCTCCTCCACCACTTTTGGAAGCAAAGTACTAAGTATGTGTGTATTTTATTTTATTAAGGTATTACATATGTGTCCTTATGCCCCGATTGCCACCCATGCCCTCACCCCCTGATGTCTGTGTCCATTGGTTAGGCTTATATGCATGCATATAAGTCCTTTGGTTGATCTCTCTCCCTTACTCCCACCCTCCCCTACCTTCCCTCTGAGAATTGATGATCTGATTGATGCTCCTCTGCCTCTAGATGTGTTTTTGTTGAATTCTTAAGCAAATAAAAAATATATATTCTTCCAGAAATTTTTGAAAAACAAACTTTATGTTAAAGGGCAAAATTATCATGTAAGGTATTATTTTTATTGAGTGCTGGTAATGTGTGACCCACTGTCCTAGGCCATAAGGATAACTATGACAATCATTAACTTCTCCCCTTTTCACTTAAACAGAAAAGTGGGAATCATTACTCAAGTCTTAAGCATCTGTTGTGTGCTTGGCTCCATACCCACTGCTGAGACTCCAACTATGACTAAGGTAGGAACTAACCAAACTTAGCACATTTCCAATTGTTGGAATCACTTGCAGACTAATGTGAAAACTCAAGTGAAGTATAAAATATAAAAGTAACAGAAAGAGCATTTACTAAGAATTGAACTGATAGAGTTCCAAAAACTCTTTTCCTCCAATATAAAGCTGTAAATTCCTATCTGCCTAAATTATCTGAAGAAAATCCAACAGAGCTTTCAAATCCACTAGTTTATCACAATAGTTTGTCTATTAGATCAATCAACAAATCCATAGGTCATCAATTCATCCATTTATCTTTTACATATTGACTACTGTCTTCTCGTTTATCTTAACCACCTCATCCTCCTTTACCTGCACTTTACTCACAAGTGGAAAACCAGCTCTATGCACCTCTCTAGCCCCTGGATACATGTATGCCCCTGGATACACACATGCCCCTGGATACAAACATGCCCATGGATACACACATGCTCAGGGCAGAGGATAATCACTGATGTTTATGGAGCTGCTATTGAGTAAAGAAGAAAAAGTTCATTTCAATTTTAAATAAGAAAAATATACATTTTATAAATATTTCTGTAACAAAAGTGGAGGAGTTATTTTTAAAGCACTGATAAATGAAGGCGTCAATTAGCAGGAGGGTTCAGGTGTATGGCTGGAATACTGCTTGCCAAGCATATAAATGAAGCAGTAGAATTAGTACATGTGTGTGCCCAGTGATATATCAATATATGTGAGTAAAACACACATTTCTATAAACACAGATGTGCACATGATTCACTTTTGATTAAAACCATCATTATTTTCTCAATTTTAAGCTAAAAATAGATTTTACTTAAATATAGGGTGATAAATAGCTTGCCATTTTAACTTTGAAAAAAATAGCCTACTGACTTTATTACAGAGCCAGAAGGGCTCTCAAACTCCATCAATAAACTCTCAGAAAGTCAATTTACTGCAACACTATTTTCATAGACTCATCTCTCTTTCTAAAATTTTCCTTTGGGCTTCAATTTTCCCCTTTGTGAATACTAACCCAAAGGCAAGTATCTGCAAATGGCTTTTAGTTTTTCTCTTGTTCTTTTCTGAAAGGACTTAATCTCAAGAGTTCAAGAGATAGGTAGGTGCCCTATTCACTCAACTACTAGGCACGAAGCTCAACAGAAAGGTAGGTGCCAGCGTAGAATATCACACTTAAAGAGCACATACCTCAGTTTCCACACAGATGACAGAAAAAGCCTGTTCTTATATATCAGAGATTAAGTTCAGAAGTATTAAATAACTAGAGGCCCAGTGCACGAAATTCGTGCATGGGGAAGGGAAGTGTCCCTCAGCCCAGCCTGCACCCTCTCCAATCTGGGACCTCTCAGGGGATGTCCGACCACCCGTTCAGGCCGATCCCAGTAGGATCGGGACTAAACAGGCAGTCAGACATCCCTCTCACAACCCAGCACTGCTAGCTCCCAACTGCTCACCTGCCTGATTTTTTTTTTTTTTTGATTGCTCCTAACTGCTTCTGCCTGCCAGCCTGTAACCCCTAATCACTCCCCTGCCAGCTTGACTGATGCCTAACTGCTCCCCTGCAGGCCTAGTCACCCCTAACTGCCCTCCCCTGCAGGCCTGGTCACCCCCAACTTCCCTCCTCTGCCAGCCTGGTCAACCCAAACTGTCCTCCCCTACAGGCTTGAATGCCCCCTACTGCCCTACCCTTGCAGGCCTGGTCTCTCCCAACAGCCCTCCCCTGCTGGCCTGATCGCCCACAACTGCCCTCCCTTGCAGGCCTGGTCCCTCCCAACTGTCCTCCCCTGCTGGCCATCTTGTGTCAACATGGGGGCAGCTGTCTTATGTGTTGGAGTGATGGTCAATTTGCATATTATTCTTTTATTAGATAGGATAGAGGCCTAGTGCACAGGTGGGGGTTGGCTGCTTTGCCCTGAATGGTGTCCCAGATCAGGGTGGGGGTTCCCTTGGGGAATGGGGTGGCCTGGGCAAGGAGCCTGTAGTGGTTTGAAGTCTGGCCACACATCCCGGCAACCCAAGCAGAGGCCGTGGTATCTGGGATTTATTTATCTTATATAATTGAAACCTTATAGTCTTGAATGGAGGCCAGGGCTGGCCAGGGTGAGAAGCTTGGTTTCCTCCATCGCCGGGGGCAACCCAAGCTCCCTGCTCAGTTCCAGCTCTGTGGCCTCTGTCATTTTTGTTGGGATTTATTTATCTTCTATAATTGAAACTTTGTAGCCTTGAGCAGAGGCCAGGGCTGGCCATAGCAGGTGGCAAACCTGGCTTCTTCCATTGCCCGGGAAACCCAAGTCTCATGCTCTCACACTCTGTGGCTGCAGCCATCTTGATTGGGTTAATTTGCATACTCACTCTTGATTGGCTAGAGAGCGTGGCCTGTGGGGGAATGGTCAATTTGCATGTTTCTCTTTTATTTTATTTTATTTTTAATATATTTTATTGATTTTTTACAGGGAGGAAAGGAGAGATATAGAGAGCTAGAAACGTCGATGAGAGAGAAACATCAACCAGCTGCCTCTTGCACACCCCCTACTGGGGATGTGCCCACAACCAAGGTACATGCCCTTGACTGGAATCGAACCTGGGACCCCTCAGTCCGCAGACCGACGCTCTACCACTGAGCCAAACCGGTTTTGGCATGTTTCTCTTTTATTAGTGTAGATTAGTACCCTCAACAAGTTCTGAATCTCTCAGAGGAAGTATTTTTTAAAACAAAAATTAAAATCAGAATTAGATTGTTCAAGTTTCTAATTACTATGGGTGATCTGAACTACCTTAGTTTATAAAAAATTATAGGAGTTACAATTTTTTATTTTAAATCCATTCAAAATCATTCATAGCTAAGTTGGAAAAAAAAATAGCTAATGGACATAAGACCATCCCTCCCAAATTACTAATTGTATATTGTGACTGAATGTGATTTGCTATTAAATATCTTTAGTCCCTGGTTAGGCTCAGTTGACTGGTCAGGGCATATACCTGGGTTTTGGGTTTAATCTCCAGTCAGGTTGGGTACAGGAGGCAACTGATCGATGTTTCTCTTGTACATTGATGTTTCGCATTCTTCAGCTCTCTAAAATTAATCTTTTTAAAAAATATATCTTCAGATGAGGATTTTAAAAATATAAATATCCACATAATGGTGAATAGGAAAACTATAAGCAAATTAAACTATTCCAAGAAAGCAATCCCTACCACCACAATCCAAAGAACTTTCTTGCTGTGAACCATCCATGCAATTAATAAAGAGCTGCTTCCAAATGTGTCTGATTTCAATATTTCAAGCCATAAAAACTTTGAGTGTGTTTTTTAATAAGGATTAAAAGTGCTGACAGCTTTTAAACATTTGCTTTTTAATTAGAACTTATTTATGTTCTTGCACTTTAATAAATATTAATATGTACAAC